CGTTGTGGCCTGCGTTAGGTGACCCGTCTCTGGCAGGGGTTTGGACTGGGTGATCTCCAGAGGCCCCTTCCAACCCCTGGCATCCTGTGATTCTTTGTGGGCAGCAGGAGATGGGAACCAACAACATGCATGTGATGCTCAGCTCTTTAGAACACCAGCGTGTTCACACAAAACATCAGCAGCGGTATCTAGCCTTGGCCAAAGATAAACATCCCCTGTTTTAAGGGACTTAGAAGTGCTTCAAAAATCCACCACATCAGCCATGTTACCGTGGCGAGCACTGGTGTGGCAACCCACCACGAGATGAAACTGGTCTGTGCCCTTGGACTTGTCAGCGTTTTGGGACTTAGCTGTGTCTTGAACTTAGCTCTTGTTCGGTCATGCTACTTTGGTCCGGCCGTCTCTGTCTCAAGATGTCAGCTGCGTGGCGGTTTACAAGCCGAAGTCAAGTCTCACAAGCTGGAGAAGCTCCAGCTGGTACCAGCTCCGTGGCTTGCTTGTTTCGGGGAAAGGAGGTGCTCTGAGAATGGCACTGCAGTGCTCTGCTGCCGTTCCTGGCTGCCTGTTGAAGGAATGTGCTTCTTAAAACGTGTGGGAATACTGCAGGTATTTCAGGAGTAAGGATTTAGCTGCTGGGGAAGATGTTTTTTTTCCCAGAGTGTGAGAGCAGCTGCTTGTTACTCGGTTTCATGAAGTATTTTATATTCGGTGATGCTCTCGGGAAGTGGGTTAATCAGTGTACTTGGCTCACATCACAGTTGTTGTGGGCATATGTAGAAACAACTAGAATTCACTACTTTCAGGCTAATTTTTTTTTTTTTTACAGATTTTGTCTAGATCAGTAGAGATACTACATACATATAGATATATATAAAACTTTAAAAGAGATGCTGAATTATTTTTCTCCAGTGTGAGAAATTTTTTTCAGGAGTTAGGAGAAATTCGTGGGTGGCTATAGCATTCTCCCAGTCATTGCATGTAGAAGATTAAATCAGAAATTTAAATGGCTCTTTTTCTTTTCTTTTTCCTTTGTGGGTATCTGCAAAACAGATGCAAGTACTTGAATTCGATACCACCGTCAGGTTTTGCTTGCACGCATCTCTTGCTGAGGTCAGTTTTCCTGGAATAAAATCGACCAAATTTGCCATGATTTTTATATAACATGACTGGCTTTGCTTCTTCATTGTTGTTCAAAGTCAAGGGGCTTTTAATTAAAACACCTTCTATCATTTAACTTAGGAAAAGTGAAATATGCGTTGAGTGGAATATTACATACTGCACAGTTGAATGGTCTGTTTGAATGTCATTATCTGTCTGGACAGCTGCTTGGTCCAAAAGAAGTTTTTTAGCACTTTAAAAGTGGAGACTAAAGAAGTAATCTAGTTTTACAGAAATAATGAAAAGTAGCTACTAACAGAGCAATGGGATGGGTTAACGAAGGCTTCTCAGGCAAACAGGTTCTGAATCTCGTTCTTTATTTCTCCAGTGGTCTATCAAGATTCACAACGGCAGCAACGAAGCCCTCGCACAATATAAAATCAATATCACTTCGATTGCACCTCTTTTGGAAAAATTAGCAAAAAGTAGCGATGTTTACTGGGTCTTACAAGGTAAAGTAGTGAACAGTAGGTAGCAATTTCTGCTGTCGCTGTCTGTTGAGTCATTGTCTCGTGGGGTATGGAAAACTCAGCCGGTACCGCTTCCCTGCAGAGTGCAAGGGTGTTGGCTGAATTCCGATCGGCCTTTCTTGCCCCCCTGACTAGCTGGTACCTCACTCGCTGCTCCTACTGATGGAGATTTTAAAGCGCGCTCGGGCAAATCCTGTGTCTTCTGGACTCGTAGTTCTGTGTTGGGATTGCTCTCGGACCGGGTGTGCCAGGTCTGTTCTCGCCGTGCTGTGCTCTGTCCGTGCCTCCGGCGCGTCAGAACACAAGGGCATAAACCAGCTGTGTTCCAGCTGTGTTTGCGTTCTGTTAAGTGTCCAGATGACATCAGTGCTGGAGGCACACCGAGTGCATCCTCTGTGTGTGTCTGGAATGAAGAGACCTACTCTAGAGAATGCAGAGGATGTAACTCTCTAGAATGGAACTTGCTTCTGTGCTCTGAGCACTGCGGAGTTAGGCTTGGGAGCCGGAAACCGTGGTTCACAACGAGCCCCTGAGGTTTTTAATACGGCACCAAGCTTACCTTCTCTGGCTTTTCTGCAATAAAACTGAAGTATGTCCCTGACTCTGAACGGTGAGCTCACAGGGGGAACGTGCTCCTGGTTTATCTGCCATGGACCACGGCATTTTGGGTTATGATCGCCTCAGTTAGAGCCATAGGCAGATTTGAGCCCTGATAGGAGTGTGCCCTTACAGTCACCTCCAAGTTTCTGTCAAAGATGGTTCTAGAAGTTAACCTGAATCAGCAAATTAATCTTCTCACATTCCTTTCAAAGCCATGTTTATCTAGAGCAGAGGCAATCGGCTGTCAGAGATGTCCCACCTTTCTCTGATAAAGGTCCAGTCCATTTAAGTCACCTCTGGGCCCTTTACTGGAAGGAGTAAGAGGAGAGGCAGTCTGTGCCCACGGAGATGGTGTGAGGTAGCCAAGGTAAACCCGTTTACAGCTCACAGAGTGCGTTTCCCCAGGGTTATGAACGTCAGCAGCTTTTCGGAGCAGCAGAGTGATCTCCAGCTGACCTTTGGAGCTGGAAACCCATATAGCTTGGTGTTGAGCTCTGCATAATTTCTGAAGCCTGCAGGCAGTTAAGTGGTGTTCCGTTCTTCTGAAAAACTGAGATTCTGCCATCAGTTAAACTGGAATTAACAGGAGCTAGTGGAATGCAGTTACAGACTATGACTTAGAGAAATAAGAAGCTGGTTTCTTCTGCAGTAACTAGAGGGTTTGAGAGATTTTTTTAAATTTTTTTTTTTTCCCCTCATGTGTCTATTCTGCTGCCTGTCTTCTGTCCTCTTGGCTTTGGAGTCTTTCCTTGGGAGATTCCGTTACTGAGCGGAGCATTAGCAGCTCTGTGCTCCAGCATTACACGCTTCTCATGGCTTTGGGGAAATTAATCAGGCATTCATGTCTGGCCAAAGCTCTCTAATCTATAAGTACATAGGCATGACTAGGGAATGGTGATAAGAACATTTCGTCGTCACCTGCTCGAGTCCCTCCTTCCTCGCTGTCCGTTTTTCTGTACTTGTGGAACAGCTGTGCCTGCCTGCATGAAAACCGCCTGTGCGACTTGAGCCAAGCAGGTGTGTTTGTCGAGTGGAAGGCTGACGTGCTCGTTCTTTGTCCTCTCGCGTTCAGATCCTGTTTATGAAGATATGCTGAGCGAAAGTCGGAAAATGATCACTAATGAGAAAATAGATGCTTATAACGAAGCGGCTGTTCGTATTCTGAACAGCAGCTCCCGAAATTCCAAAGCTAAAGTTAAAGTGTTCAGCGTATCGAAACTGATCGCACAGGAAACTATCATGAAGTCTGCAGACGGCCTGCATCTCCCCGAATCAAGCAGAGATACAGTAAGTGGCTCTGTCCCTGGTCAACATCGAACAGTAATAACAGTAACCCGAGATTTGACGTGAATGTTCGGAAATGGCAGGAAAGGTGGGTGTGACGAGGACCTGCCCGTTCTTCAGGGGGTTCTGTTCACAAGACCCCAACAGGTGGGGGGGCAGTCAGTTATACAGGACGTTTAAAAAACATGACAGCAAACACATTAGCGCGTCGCTGTTTTGCAATAGCTGTTAATCCACTGGGTCTTTGGGCTCCTGGGTGCAAACTTCGTGCCTTCATCTCCATGAGGGAGTTACGGTGGTAATGGTAGGTAAGGCAGTGCTAAGTGATAGCCCTGCAGTTCCCCCCTCTGTGCCCGTGGGGTTTGGTTTAGTAAGGAGCATGGAAAGGATGAGAAAACGCCCCACCTACACCCTCCTGGTTCCACGGGGCGCCCCCGCCTTGGTTTGATCTGATCTGTAACCTGCCGGCACGCGGATGTGGGCGAGTGAGCCCCGGCGAGCGCCGGCAGCCGGCCCTTCTGCTGGCAGAGCTCTCCCGCCAGGGCCCTTCCAGTTCCGCTCCTTTGCAGGGGTCAGCTGCTCTCAAGTACCGGCTGAAGTAAACCCCATCTCCCCGCAGGTTTCAGTCTTCGTCGTGCTTTGGAGACTGTCATCGCCGTGCCCCTTGAGGAGCCAGGTTGTGAGCTGGCGTTCGTTGATAGTCCATTTCCCTCTTTACAGCTCCTTCTAGAGCCAGGAGAGAGAACCCTTCTGTTGATAGGGTTAGGACTAGGATTAGGATTAGGTCTTTTCGCTTACCTCGGGCGGCTCGAGGGTTTCCCGTTTGGAAGTTTTGATGTGCTGTTGAATGCAGCTGCGTGTGTGGGTGCTGTGAGGGGTTACCTATGTCATGGTAAGGGAGGATTGCATATGTTTTATGTCAGTGCATCACCTAGAAGAAAATTTCTTATGCTGAAAATGTTAACTGTTTTATTAGAGATCGATTGACGAAACTGTGTGTTTCTTTGACAGAATGCGATGATTCTTATGAATGTCTACTGCAATAAGATCATGAAGCCCATTGACGGCTCCTGCTGCCAGCCCCAGCCCCCTCTCACTCTGATACAGAAGCTCGCTTTCTGTTTCTTCACTTTGTCCATGCTTGGATATTTAATTATCCATTTAATTCATCGGAATAATTATCGGAAGAACAAATCATGTACTGATGTGGAAAGTGGAGAGGAGAAACCTGCCATCAGCGCTCCTAGTGTCTCTACTTTAGAGATGCTCCTACACTGCTTCTGCAAACTCGGTCTCATCATGACCTATTTTTATCTGTGTGACAGAGCAAATCTTTTCATGAAGGAAAACAAGTTTTATACACATTCATCTTTCTTCATACCGATCGTCTATATCTTGGTTTTGGGGGTATTTTATACCGAAAGCAGCAAAGAGGTAATGATCATGCTGACATCCAGCTTGTAACGTTGTCTCCCAGTTGAGCGCGACTAACGAATGGCTAAATATGGGAAGTGACATTTCCAAAGTCAGGGTGACTCCTGTGCAGAAAACGCGCCCCCAGGCAGCGCAGCGTGGAGGTGGGCGCGGAGGCTCTCTGAGAGCCCGTGGGAAGGGGCGCTTCGGGCCACCGCCGCTCCTCGGGAGCGAGCGGAGCTCGGGTACGCGGGAGCGTAGGTCACATTCAGCCTGGCAGAGCTGTGCCCGCTGGGTGGAAGCTTTCACATTTGCCCATAAAGTGGTTTATTGTTTTGAACTTTTTCTCCTCATTTTGTAGATGCTCGTTGTACTTTTTGGAATAGCAACACTCTTGTTTTGTTTTGCATTAGACTAAAGTGTTAAATAGAGAACAGACTGATGAATGGAAGGGCTGGATGCAACTTGTTATTTTGATTTATCATATCTCTGGAGCAAGCACTGTAAGTGATTTGAATTTCGTAACTTTTTTTTTTAAGGGGGAATGCAGTTTGGGTATGTTCCTTCAAAAGAAAGGTGGTGCAAATGTGTATTAGAATTGAACAGAAGGAGTAACTGGTGCCACTGTTCCTGTAGTTTTAAAAATGGTGTCAGCAGAGCCAGTTTTTCTCTGTAGATCTCATCGATGAGAGCTTTTTATGTATTACTTGACCAGTGAAAAAATACGCTCGTTCCCTCCACGTAGAAAACTATGTTAATTTATTTTTAATGGTTAGCAGCCCTTCTTTTTTTGTGTTCTGGAAATGAAACTGCCGAAGGTAAGGCTCCAAAGAGCCCTTCTTAAGTCTCTCTTAACTGGTAGTAGAATATGGAAAGTGCAGAGCAATAAGCAGAAGAAAGTCACTTTAACATCAGAGCGGTCAGGGCACCGCAAGAGCTTAGTAAGAAACAGGGAAGTGTAGCTCGGTGTTTCTTCCCTTATTTCAAGCTGCTTTACCGCAGTGCAGAGAAAGCATATATGGGGGGGGGGGAGGGGAAAGCCAAAAGCATTCACGTGGCCGTTTATAAAAGGTATTTTGTTTTTCTCAACAGTTTTTGCCTGTGTACATGCACATCCGAGTTCTGGTTGCTGCGTATCTGTTCCAAACAGGTTATGGGCACTTCTCGTATTTTTGGATAAAAGGGGACTTTGGTGTGTACAGAGTGTGTCAGGTAAGAATGCCTGCGTGGCCTGAGGTGTTCCCCGAGATGCTTCCCCTGAAGTGTTTGCCTGAAGTATCCTCAGCCGGGGAGATCCTTCCGTGTGGCGCTACCGGAATGTGTCCCCCAGCTCCCTCAGCTGTGCCTCCCAGTTTACCCATCCCCTGTCGTCTTCTCCTCTGACACCCTCCAGGTTCTATTTCGCCTCAACTTCTTGGTGGTGGTGCTGTGCATAGTGATGGACCGACCGTACCAGTTCTACTACTTTGTGCCGTTGGTCACCGTCTGGTTCATGATCATTTACGCCACCTTAGCCCTGTGGCCTCAGATAGTCCAGAAGAAGGCAAATGGTAAGACTTTTATTTTTCTTGTTGCGTGCAGCAGCTCAGTCCCTTCGTCACCTGCTCAGCCTGCGTTCCCAGGAGTGCGGGGTGCCGCAGGCGGGCTCTGTGTCCGCTGGAAAACGGGAGAGCAGAGAACCGCCCGCTGCCGC